AAGATATTTGATATCATTTGTGATTAAGGAAATGCAGATTAAAACCACAATGAGATACCATAATATAATCACTAGAATAGCTTAAAACAAACAAACAGCTGACACTGTCAATTACTGGCAAGGATGCAGAGCAACAAAATCTCACATAGTGGTGTTGGGGATGCAAAGTGGTAAGCTCACTTTGGAAAATTGTTTTGCAGTATCTTATAAAGTTAAACATATACTTGACATGTCATCTAGTAATCCCACTCCTAAGTATCTACCCAAGAGAAATGAGACCTTGTTTACACCAAACCCTGTGCATTTAAAGCAAATATTTTAAAGTGCTTTATTTATAAATGCCCCAAACTGGAAATGACCTAAATATTTTCTAACATGTAAATGGATAAAGAAAATGTGGTACATTCACAGAACAGACTACTACTCAGCAATAAAAAGGAACAAAGTACTGACACATGGAATGACATGGATGAATCTCAGATGTATTATGCTAAATAAAAGAAGTCAGATTCAAATGATTGTATCCTGTGTGGCTCCATTTATATGATGTCTGGAAAAGGCAAAGTTATAGGGGCAGAATCAGATTAGTGGTTGACAGATCTGGAGATAGGGGGCTAGGATGACTACAAAGAGGCAGGAAGGAATTTTTTGAATATGTTGAGTATTTTGAGTTTGGTTGTGGTTTCACAACTGTATGTGTTTGTCAAATTTCTTAGAACCATTCACTAAAAATGAATTTTAATGTATGTAAGTTACACATCAACAATTCTGATTAAAACACATACATGCATGCACATATACACAAATACTTGGAGACCACTATTCCACAATGGCAAGATGAGGTAGAGATCAAATCAGGGGACATCCATTACTAGTCATGGTACTACACTGGAGACTACATTGAGAGTGGTCAAATTAATCCTCTCCATCTGTTCCATTTAAGGGTGACTCTCACATCTCCTCTATCTGAGACAATTAGGACATTGTCACGACCAAATCAAGGCCCCAGGACCAACTTACTTGAAAGCCTTGGGTATGAATTGTACCTTATGACTTCTTTCTCATCAGTGGAACACGTGGCGAAGCCTGGTCTTTATAGAAAAGCTATCCTCTCTATGTAAAAAAAACCAGCATTTTTATCCACTTCCAGAAGGACTGCATAACGAAAACAAGTATGCTTAGCAGAAAATTGTGGGGTATTCGTGCAATGACTAGTGTTGGATTTCACAATTTCAGTTGTCTAATGGAAAAATAAAATGACTTAAAACACAGAAAAAAGAACTGATAAATGCCAAATCTAAAAGAAATTTGGATTATTTAGGTGATGAGAAGAGAAAATGGTATTTTAAGATTATCTTGAAGTAATTCTTCTTTTGAACTTTTGAAGTGTTCTTTTTTTAGAGATCTTCCACATTTCAGTAATAGTTAAAGGCTCATAATATACGACAGGCTCTGAATTTGAGCAAAGCAGACTTATGTAAAAGATAACAAAGGACCTTCCTCTCACTAGTAAGCTTTGTTAACACTGAACAACTTCATAACATGAGATCAAGGCTTCCAAGGAAGCTATTTAGGAAGGGGCTATGAAGTTAAAGACACACGCACACATGCAAATACAGTTTAAATATTATTTGCTGTACCATGAGGTGAGTTAGTTAAACTTTTCAGCCTTCAACTAGCCTATTCATACTTTTGTAAATGTAATAAAAAATAACAATACGTATTTAAGTTTATCTTAAGTTCAAGAAGAGCTGAGAAAAAAAAAGGCCAATTAAATTCATTGGTAAGGTTCATAGATTAAAACTGAATGATCCATCAGTTCAGATTCAGTTTGGAGAATGTTTTGATGTTTCAAATTCCCTTTGGTTCAGAAGTTACAGGTTTTGTTCATTCTCGACCGTGACTTTAACATATCAGTTCATGGATTGACTCCAAAAACCTAAATATTCCGTTTCAGTTTGAATAGATGCTCATAGTTTGCACTTGTTGGAAGCCCCTTATTTGATTCAATTTAAGCTCTCAGTTTTACAGATTTTTTCAATTAAGTGATTCTTTTATGGAGTCTGAGGTTATGGACGGAGACGTTCAACAAATGTTTATGGCCCTACTAGAAATGACTTTACTATTTTGAGAACCTATTGTTTAGACGTGGCTTCTTGGTAAGTTGTATTACCTCTGTTACTAATAATTTGGAGGAGGTGAACTCATTATCATAAGATCATAGGAACATTTCCAAAAGGATAGATAAAAGAATGCTAAAATTACAAAAAAAAAAAAAAGTCAGCAGCAGATGCTTCAAAATGAGGAGTTCACAAAAGAAAGGAAGAAAACAGCAAAGGATAAGAACTGAGGAGTGGCCTGCCTAAAATAATTTAAAAGCCATCACAATGAACAAATATTTTTCTCTATATGTTGGAAAATAGGTAGATCAAAATTAATTAGAGCCTATTGAACCTACCTGAGCAAGAGGCTTATTCTCAAACAGTGCTTCATGTTGAAAGAATTTGTCCAGCCCGTGCTCCTTGGCAATATGATCAGACTCATCAGAGAAGAGGACAGCGTCCCCATCAAAGGCCACGCGGAGCTGTGTGTCACAGTAAGCTATGTCTTTGGCTCCATCAAACATTGTTGCAGAGGCGATTCCTGGCAGATCCAGGGGGATTGATTAATACACTTCTCAGGGCCATGAATTTTAGTTTCTACCATGAAAAAAAAAGTCCTCCGAGACCTCACATTTCCTCTCTAGCTATTACTCCTCTTCACAGCCACACGACTCGGAAGAGTGGTCTACGCCCTACATTGGTTTCTGTAAGGGATGGGAAAGTATAAAATGGGTTGTAGGACAATCACTGAGGATGTCCACCTTCAGGAAGGTCAAAGCTTTAAAAGACAAGCTTAAGGGCTGGCAGTGTGGAAGCACCTCGGCTGCAAATCCAAGGACATAAACCACAATCATAAGTGAAGCCCAAATGGAAGGAATCACTAGCACAAACCTCTTTATTAACCAGAGGGATAAAACCAAACCAATACCTTCTTGTATTGCTTCTTGTACTTTTTCAGAATCCGCAGAAAGATACAGGTTGGTAAGATATGCCTTCAAATAGCCAATGGGGCTTTTTCCACCAGTCAGACAGAAGCGGTCAATTAGTAATCCTATTATTGGGCAAGAAAGAATTTATTATGTCAGAGACTAAAGCCAATATACTTACTGTAAATGCAAATAAAAGTTACCTTAGGAGTAACTGAGTGCTTATTGAGGTTTCAGAATTGCCTTCATAGCACCAGTATTGCAAAGTGTCTCAGCTATTTGGTACCTGATAGTTTTTGAAGTATATCCACATAGACCATGACAGTTTACTTTCACAAAAACTCTAAGGCAAGCATTATTATCCTTGGTACAGAAAAATAAACTGAGATGTAAAGACTGGTCTAAGCCTGCGGGTTCACATTTTCTCTTGTCTAGACTAGAACAGTGCTCTTTTCCTTCAACTACAGCCTCTTGTTGAAAGGGCCAGTTAAGGTGTGTACCACTTTAAGTACCGTTTCTGTATTTCTTCGGTAACAATACAATAGTAATAACAGGTATACTAGGATTTAAACTATTTTCTAAAAACAACAACGAAAGGTCTAAAATTGTCTCTTTCCTGACTTGAAATTTTAAATACAATTATTAGCAGACTAAGCATTAATATACCATTGAATGCCTTTCAAATCAACAACAATTGTATAATTAGGATAATATAAAACTCACACCTTGTAATACATCTTGATTATTTATAAATATGCCCAATTTAAACCTAGAATTTAAATATGCAAAATTTAAACCTTATTTTGACTTGACATACCCATAAGACTAGATTTGTCTCTTAGAAAATAGGCTAACGGTCCCCAAATAAGAAGTCAGGTAATTCCATAACAGGAAAAATGACTTTCTCTTAAAGTCTCCAACATACTGATGGAAATGCTAGGAAGAGACTAGAGTCAATCAAATTTTCCATATAAAGGAACAAAGACAATTTGGGGGCATGAGTATAGATTTGATGTGTGGGGAGAACAGCCAGGAAGAATCAGATTTTAAGAGTGGAAAGAAAAGGTGAAAACCTTTCAACCTTTACCATGTATCTGTGGTGAGCAAGGAGTTTGATCACACAGAGAAAGCCTCTGGGTCGACGGCTCCTTGAAGTCAAGTTCAGAAGTGAGAAACATAAAACAGAGAAATATATTGCGGGACCTAGGATTAAGACTTTGAAATTCACACTTGACAAGTTAAGTCCAGAGCTTTGGGCCCAACTTTGTGCTGAAGTTAAAAATGAACGTGGCCTCTCTTGTTCTGACATAGGCAAATAAACATTCCTCACTCAGAAGAGGGTGTCAGTATCAAAGACACTGCATTAGTTAGGCCACAGTTAGCAAAATAACGTGGCTTCTCTCTTCCAGAGCAGCAAGCTGTTCTTCCACATGGTATTTATTTTACTTACCGTAGTGATTGACGCTGTTTATAAGCCGCACTCCCACTTGGGCATGGTTATTAGTCATCAGTACAATATCAAATAAGTCCTGTTCATCAGGATACAGCTCACGGAGTCTACAGTTGACATGCTGCAGTGCCTACAGGTTACAAACACGAATGCGTGTAAGGAGAGCCAGGCAAGGTGGGCACTGGGAGGCTGGAGGGAAAGGATCTCATAGATGTCAAATTCAAGCTCTGAGGACTCTTCACTGACAGATTATAGCTCCTTTAAGGCAGGGTTATGCCATTCATTTCTGTATTTTCTTCCTCTATACACAGGACCTCAGTTAATGTTTACCGAATAGATGGGTAATGTTTGTTGAAGACTGTACAACATTTGGTTTACTAGAATTATCTCTGTGGGGTAGGCAGAGAGAAGGCTCAGATTACCCTTTTGTGCTTTGTCTGTTTTGTGTGTGTGGTTTTATTTATTTTTTTTGATTCATAAAATCTGCCTTTCTTGATCATCTGACAATTATTTTTTATTGTAAAAAATATAGAATGCATCATGGATCTGCATTTTATCTTTGCACAGGAGCCATTCTAATGGTCTTTGTATTGTTCCAATTTTAGTAAACGTGCTGTCAAAGTGAGCTCTTTGTCTGCTTTTTAAACACGAGTCTTTAGAATAGGTTTGTGGTTTCTTCCCATACTTCTACCATGCCCCATAAGCACTTTCTACTCACAACTTGTGGAGGTGTCATTTGTTTCTACCTGGTTATGATGTTAGTGTGTAATATTTGTATAAGTTATATAGAGGATCAGAGGGTGTTTTGCTTGTTTGTTTTTTTTTAAAGTGGAACTTCATCGAAGACTCAGGCCTCCAGAAGGAAGGGTGTCCCCCATGGAGGCTTCTCTCTCCTACCTGTTCTCTCTCTCTCTCTCTCTCTTTTTGGTGAGGAAGATTGGCCCTGAACTAACATCTGTTGCCAGTCTTCCTCTATTTTGTATGTGGGGTGCAGCCCAAGCACGGCTTGATGAGTGGTGTGTAAGTTGGCTCCTGGGATCCAGACCCAGGAGTCCTGGGCCACTGAAGTGGAGCACAGGAACTTAACCACTATGCCACCTGGCTGCCCAGAGGATCAGAGTTTTAAGTGCTATGCACTTCCATATAAGTTCAGAGAACATTACTTTCTCTGTTAAAATCATGCCCCTAAGTGCCAAGAGCATCTTGATTTTCTTAATATGCTATGTTTGGGGCAAGAGCAGCTAAAGTGAATTTCATCTAATTTTAATGAGGGGTTCTATTTTTACTACTTGGGATGGTAAACTCATTATTGCTTCTTACTGCTCCTTCTAGGGAGGGAACAAAGGTTTCTGTAACAGGTCTCATGATTAGGACTCCACTTAGGCAAGCTCAACATTCCAAATCTAGGGCTGTGGGCTGGGGTCCCTTCCTAACAGTCTGGAAGCCTCTGTGAAAGCATAAACTGACCTGGGATCAACTTGAAAAGAATGTCAAGGGTGGACTATGAATTAGAAGGGAACCTGGATGATATCCCAAGGGTTGGCTTGGGTCCTTCCCAGGGTCCTGGCAGGCCAAAGACATCTTTGCAGAGTACCTTGACGAAGCGGAACGCGGGCCCTGGGGTCAAGATGACGTTCTCATTGGTGAGTTGATACTCCATATACTTTTCCAGACCCTCTTCTTCGTAGATTTTCCTGCCATCCACCATGTTGAAGAGTGCCCTGGACGAGACAGCGATGGTGATGGCATGCTTCGGTTTGGGCTGCAGAGAGGGACACCAACGGGGGCACAGTCACACAGACCCGAAGGGATCAGGAATGGGGCTTGTCTCTGGGCAGAGTGGCAGGAAAACACCTGGGCCACTGCTTGGACCGCTGGGAGACAGCCAAGGGCTGGGACCTCCCGAGGCTGAAGGGGGCAGATTTGGGGAGGAGAAGCAGAGGACTGGAAGGGACTTCCCTACACCGAGGAGAGGAAGGAGGCTGGGAGAGGCTCGGGCTGCGGGGCTGCCAGGAGGGGCGCCCGAGGTACAATGGCCAAGGGCCCTGCTCACCGGCCTGGGGCGCGAGCAGCTTGGGGTCTTCTCATACAGCATCTTCACGGATGACCAGTAGGCTTCGTCGTCGTCCTCCTCTTCTCGCTTCCGGAGCATGTCGATCACACAGTCGCGGTCCTCCTGGGTTGGATAGAGTGCCCTACGCTGGGCATAGGACTTCCATTCGGTGGGGGGCGTGCGCTGATATTCCCGGGGCTGCTGCGTGTCCCGGGAGTCCCGGACGTCCCGTACGATGCCGTGAGCCCAGGCTTCGGGATTCTCATGCATCTTGGAGCTGCGCCGGGACCCATTCTTGGGCTGGGTCTCCGGGGGCGTGGGAGGACTCGGGTCGAGAGACATGGGAGGTGTGGGCGGTGAGGGCTGTGCCGACAGCTGCTGTGGCAACTCTTGCTGGCTAAGGGAGGTGGATGAAGTCCGGGAGGTCGTGGAGCTATTGGGGAGCTGGGGCAAGACAGTAGGGATCTGAGTTCAATGTTCGCCGAAGGTCCCTCTCCCCATCTCTGCCAAGCTGGAGTCAAGGAACTGTCCGCTTCCCTCTGTTCCATGCCTAGCCCTTAGATAGATTCTGGTTTATCTCGGCTCCTCTAAGCAGGGTTAAAGAGGCTCAGACATTTCAGGGCTCCAGATAGTAACTATGTCTGGTAAATGGACACAGAGAGAGTCTGTTCATTTTCCCCTAGCTCCCCCATCAGCACCTCACACTTTTTTTTCTTTTTCAGTAGGTAGGGCACAGGTCCCCTTCCCTGTCCTTAGACAGCTGGCACATGGTTTGCAAAGTTCTGTCACTTGCCTCCTGTATACCTGTTCAATCAGAGACCTCAAGCTAGGGCAGAGGGCTTGAGTAAGGGACCTTGCTTGCCACTGCCTGCATCTGTGACCTCCAGTTGACTAGACCAGATGTTCCCATCCGAAGACTCTACAAAAAACCTCAGGCGCATCTCTCTCCATGTTTTCCCTGTTCTTAATGCAGTGGTTGCTGGGAAGGTTGGTAGGCTGGAGAATCCAGTGTTTGCCTATTGCCTACAGAGCTTCCTGTCCCTGTGGGGCTCAGCTGGATAGAATCATCTTCCTAAATAGGAGGAAACCGTTCTAGAGAAAGGACTTCTTCCCTAAGGTGTGCAATAAGTTATGAAGCATCCATCTATTATTTCAGTTTTTCTGATTGTTTCATATGTTTTGAAAGGTATGTTCTGATTATATTATTGAGCCACTCTTCACAGAGACAGATGGATTGGTAGGAATACCTGTTCTCCCAGTGGTTGGATCTGTGTCACTCTCTCTGCATCCAAAAAAATCTCAAAACTAACTTTTTCTTCTTATGTGGCCAGGCCTAGTCAAGGGCCCAAAGTGCCACACAATCTAACACTCTTCAACAATTTATCTCCTTTGTTGACCTTTCCAACGCCTCTTATGAGTCTTGGGTACTCAGTAAATAGTTGTTGAATGAATGAAGGAAGGAGAAACCATAGAGTTTATTAAGTATGCAGCTTGTAGACCTAGAGATCCTAGATTTTAATCCAGCTCTATGAGCATTATTAGTGTGAAATCTTAAGCAAGTTGCTCTGTTTTAGTTTTCTCAACTATAAAATGGGGCTTACAGTGGGGTTTTTGTGAGGACTAAATTAGCAAAAACATGTAAAGACCAGGGCCTGGCATGTAGAAAACATCAATAAATGTAAGCCATTATTATTATTGTTATGGTTATTGTTCTCTCGTGTACTCCTTCCTTTCATCTCTATTCTCTACCTTAAGACTGGCTGTCTTGCTTCTGTTCTCATCTACTGATGGAGCTCTGATGGATGCGCTCCGTGAAGTTCGGGACCACTGATTTCGCACAAGGTACCCTCGAGAGTCTGTCTTCGGCACTGATATTTCTTGTGATCCCTTTCAAGGAGAGAAGAGACCCAGGGATGTAATACCCCACCACCCACTCCTTCCATGTGTGTGCCTACAGAATAGGCTTGTCTGGCTAAAAACATAGCAGCACCCAGTGAGAAGGTCCCTGGCCTCTATGACCCTTAATTCCACCTTGGCCCTTGCATACTATTTTAGCTCTGGTCCAATCCTAACTTCTGTGAGGAGCAGTGAAGTGGGGTTCCACTCAGAAGAGCATCTAAATCCAAGAAGCAAATCTGATGTCTCATAGTTTTTCACCTGTGACTCCTTTTGTATGGAACTTAGTAGAGCTGACCATTTTTTCTCCTTTTCCCCTTCCTCCCTTGAGGATAAGCCTGTTAGCAGATACTAAAAGACACAGCCATCATTTTTGACCAGACTACAAAGATGAAGGCAGCTGGTACCCAAACAAGGCTGCACCAGGGCTCCAAAGCAGCTACGTAAGAGGGACTAGAGCCCTCCAGCATGCCCCTCAGGAGGAACGAGAATGGAGAAGACCACAGAGAGGCACGTGGAAGAGTTTCTATTCCCCAGATCCTTCCCCTCACCCAGATTGCCTGTGGCGCCCCTCCAAATGGGTAGTTTGATCTCTGCTCACCCTTATCATGGTGATCTGCCGGCCCTGCTCCCACAACAGGCACATGTGAATATAAATACGTATTGTGCGGCAGGGGCCAAGAAGTACTGTTCCCTCAGCTGCACTAAGGCAGTGTCTACACGACAGGTGACCCCGCATGGCGCAACATCTCAGCGAGTGATTCGGTTTGACTGCACGCCTCATCTGAAAGATTGTGCAGAAAATAGTCAATGCCATGGCCAGACTCCGCTTCCCTCCCTGATTTGAGCAAAGACTGATCTCCTCCCATAGGCTGAGCAGAGGAAACAGCTGTGGTGACTACACCATATATTCTACCTGAACGTGGGGATATGTGCTGGAGGGGAAGGCGGGGACCAGTTTCTCCTACTTTTTCCTTAACCTCTCCGTGAGGACATTGTTTATCTTTTCATACAAATCTTGACAGCTCAGTCTTCTCTCCTAGACCTCCCTTGCCCCCTAATATTTTCTGTTATACTTTCTGGTCTTTAATTCTGTCACCAACTCTCAAGAGGTCAGCTCACCTGTGTGCTCAGACGAGCTCCCGACTTCTCAGAATCCCTTCTTCTCTCTGTTTCTAGATTGTCTTTTGAGTACTTCGTTCCACTTTCATTCTTAATATGGAAACAAAGAATATTTATTAATTTTTAATTTCAAGAGCATTACAACCTTGGGTTTGGGAATAAAAGGATAAATAAAAATTAGACTTTATCTCTTTGCCAATATCAAAAATATATAAATTTTAGACATTATTTTTCCCCTGTTCTAACAAGCATGAACAAAACTAACACATATCAGGGAACTATATAGACAAATTTTTAATATAGAAATTTGTTGGCTTATAGATTCGAGGCAGGAGGCATTTATTATTTAAAAAATGATAGCATGGAAAAAAAAATGATAGCATGGGAAATGCTGTGGGAGAATTTTCCAGGGTTCAACAAAACTTGGAATTAAATGTGAAGTTGCTCACACAATATAACATTTTTTTCTCTCCATTTCTCTGAAGATTGCTACTTATGGAACTTTTTCTTTTGCTATGTTGAATTGAAAGTTCTCTTGTTTGTTTTCTTAGTAAACCA